CACACACACACATACACACTGATTGATATATTTATTTTTTTTATAAAACTAAAAGTAATATAGACATATGTATTTTCTCTAAAATAAAGAAAGTATTATCAGTTCAGGACTTTTTTTATCAGAATTGTATACGGAAAAAAATTATTATATTTGTTATTCTTCATCTATTGTGAAAGCGGGAAAAAAAACAGATATTCGCATCTAGTTTGCTAGGAATAAATATTTATAGTTCGATTTCTTTTCTGCACACAAAATCACATTCTTTCTGCCTCGAAATAATATTCACATGATGATTCTTATTTTATAATAATAATCAACGGAATTAACCACACGGAATTCGTCTGTGTAACAACGACAAATGATACGGACAAAACAGAGAGCTGACACATCATTTCCTCACAACGCAGTGGTTTCTCGGAATATCTTTTGTGGTTGATAGCAAGGATATCTGACCATAGAAACACACAAAGCATGTCAAAACGCGCGATGTTAGAAACTCAATTTTATATCTCTGTTGTTTTGATTTTAATTTCAAACTACCACTTTAAAAAACTATTTTTAACCTTAAAAAAAAAACTATTTTTAACCTTAAAAAAAACTGTCAGTGCAGGAATCGTCTAATGTTGCTGGTTAGCTGAGAAAAAAAATATCGTTTACGCCTATTCGGGGTGTAGCCGGAGATAAGATAGCTGTACGCGTGTATGTATATGTGATATCGTATTAAGACAAATTTACACGATTCCCTCTTGAAGATCCTTTTAAATGACTCATTTAAGATAAATATATTTGACAAAAACAAGTTTGGTTAGAATAAAAATTAAATAAAATCAACGTTAGTTTAAAAATTAATATTAAGGAAGAAAGAAGAAATAATCAACAAATTCGCAAACAAGAAATTGATAGTATCATGATCTAAGAGATTTTTGTTAAATTATAATATTATCTATATCTCTTATAATATAAATTATAATATAATTTAACATACAATATTGAAAATAAATAATATGATAAGAATAAAAAGATACGATATTTATAATGATTAGATCTTACAGAAAATTTGCGCGCGCGTGGATGTTATCAGAGTATTATTTAAGAATAAGACAGCGGCACACATACAGACCTCTTTAATTATCCTACTATTATTGGCATCATTAATATTCCATACTGTCAAAAGATTACCATTGGATTGTATAAAGAATTCGAACAATACCGTAAAGAGGTTAAGATAACACTTAACCCTTTCCCCTCTTCTCCGTCGATCACATGTGCATTTCAGTTGGAAGCGGTACTGGTGGCATGTCGTAACGTGAACCTTGTGTGTACTAATTAGGACCATTGAGGAGGAAGACGTTCTCGATATATAGGACGCCACTCATAAGTTCGTTACTGGTTGCACGTTGCTTATTTATTGAACATTAATACTATATCTCCATTTTCCGTAGGCTATATATTTTTTTCTACATGATTGACATTTTTTGCAATATCAGTAATTTTGTCACAATATATTTTGTCTTAAGATTCAGGAAAAAATTTGTTTATTTTTTATAAAATCATGAAGATAAAAAACCATAAATTTTTCTTTAATAGATAAGAGAGAAAAAAAAGTAAAACATACGCTGTATATCTATTACATGTTATAAACAATGCTATGATTTATTTCTATTGGAGTAAATTGATAGTATTTTTATACTAGTCGTCGCAATGCAGAGGTGTACTTCAAAGCATGAAGAGATTGTTGTGGTGTGCATATATAACGGGGATTCGCACTGGAAGACAAGAAACCGGGGAAAGCAAAGCAAAGCAAAGCAAGGTAAGACAAGATGAGCAAGGCTTGGCACAAGACAAGACTTTACAAGAGGAGAGAGAAGGTTTAGTTCTTTCCCCCCTCTATCCTCTTCTCACTCTTTCTTTCTCTTTCTCTCTTTCGAATTCGAGACAAAGTCTCGTCGGACGTCGCCATAGTCGTTTCTCAACCCTTTCACGATTACGTCACGTTAAAAAAGCTATTTGGGGTCAACACCCCGAGCTGTAGCGACACGTGTAGTACTTCTTGGTTCCTCCGTCCTCTCACCACTCCGCCGCGGTCCACCACCCCACGGTAATGTGAAGACAGCCCTCTCTCTTCCCTTCCGACTCCTTCGCCCGCACGAGCGATGACGCCATTGCTACTTCCCTCTCTTCCCTGTTTTTCGCCTACTTTAAGAGAAGTCCCTTCTACTTTCGCTGAGATTGCTGAGCTCCCTAGACTCATCAAACCTAGAGTTCCAGATAGACATGAATGACATTATTAAGGGAACTGACATGAATAATAAAAAAGAATGAAATAAATTATACATCGTGTATAATAAATATCTCTTCTCGTAGAGGAAATAATGTACAAAATTAAAAAATAAAAAATTTTAAGAAAAAAAAGATAAGGTACGTATGTGCTTGCGCGTGTATACAAAAATAAGATGATTAGAGAAGATATACTCGCGCGTAACCGCTGTATAAATAATGATCTGTAACAAACAAGTTTTTCTTGTAACAGAGAATATTAAAATGCGGGAATAGTACAGTATTCACAGAGAAAAGGATGAAACAAAGAAGACAAGGACGCAAAGCCTCGAGCGATACAGCCCTGGCCGTGGGCGCAGCGGAGAATAGTAGGGGAAATAGCCGAGTTTCTCGGAGATGGAGCGCAGACTCTGAGCTAGAACTAGCTAGAGTCTTGCTAGAGCGGAGCCAAGGACACTAGATGATCAGCAACAACAGCCGAAGGAACTAAACGATGACGACAGAGGTGGTGGCGACCTCCCTTCACCCCGATCCACGTGCATCCACATTGCCTACGTGCCCGTCTACCTCTCTACTCCCCTAATATCCAAAACCGATGTCGTCCTCGTCCCCTTCGCGCCACCGATCCCACCCGTCGCCACCGCCGTTACTGTTAATGCTGCTGCTGCTGGTGCTGCTGCCGCCACCGCCGCCACCACCGCCACCGCCACCGCCGTCGTCGCCGCTGCCGCCGCCGTCGCCGCTCCGAGTCTCTCTCCGCAGCGCGCTTCCCCTTCCAAGCACTTTTTTGTCCAACTATAAGCCTCTCTCGTCCATCGCGACAAGGCAGCAGCCATCGTGCCTTTTTATCAGTCGACCGAAAAGATCCACGGGAATTCTGCCGTAACATTGTACCCTGAGTATCCGCTAGTTTGAATGCAAAAAAAAAAAAAAAAGAACCAGAGAGCAATCCTTGCACATACTCCAAAGAAAATATATATATACTTATATTAATACATTATAATTTATATATACATATATGTATATATGTATTTTATAAAATACTACGATGGAATTTACATCTTATTTTCATCTGTTTGTGCCATGCTAAATGGGGGCATCCCGTTAAACGCGTTTATCCTAGGGCAAGGGAAGTAGTGGGGGTGAAGATAGAAGGGAAGAGAGAGGATGGAGAAGTGCGCATGACAAAATCCTGGCGACAGTAGCGTATTTGCGAAGTAAAGAATGCATGTTTGGGGTGAATGTATCACAAATTGCACGATATCGATGTAGCAACTTTGCTTGCAGAACGACACGGGCTCATTTGAAACTTTATAGAACAATTTGAGATTATATATTATTTGATAAAGTTTAAACTCTGCCTAATTCTTGAAAAATTTCTGACTTGACGAGAAACTTTGCGTCAAAAAGCAAAATGAAATCAGCGACTGGCAGAAATATCCGCTAGAGTGATGTTGCGGGTATGTAGGTTGAAGTATTTCTCTTGAAGTTCAGTGTTGCTATACTTCGCAGCCAGTCGACGGTGGCGGCGACGATGGACAGAGAAAGACGGACGCGGTTCTCCGCTGTCGTCTGGGAAAAAAGTGCGCAAGCGCGCGCGAATCACACTCTCCCTCTACTAGCTCACCACCTTCTCTTCCTCCCCTTCCTTCCCTCGCTCGAGCTATACATGCGAATTTCCTGTTTAGTGGCCGGAGGAAGAGGAGAGACGGCGGAGTCACATCCCTTTTCGTGACCATCCCCGCAAGGTTCGAGGTCAGTTCATTTCTATTCTCTTTACTTCTTGAGAAAGGACCTTGGTCTTCGTTTCTCCGCCTTGACCCAAGTTTCTTATTATCTGAAGTAATTGGTTGCGCGATAATTTTTTTTTTATTTTTGTGTAACAAGAAAACTTAAACAAAGTGTTTTATAAAATTGACTCGTTGATTGATCGAATTTAGTAATAAAAATCAATCAAAGAGTAGTTTCAAAACTTTGAAGTTAATAAAATTTTAATGTAAAAGTAATAAAAGTACTACATGTGTATTCATTTTTACGTATTTCTTTCGATAAAAGAAACATTAAGATTACGTGCAACATTGTCGACGGAGAGCGAAAAGTAAATTATACATAGTCACGGAACAGAAAGAGAAAAAGAGAACGAGCGAGAGAGAGAGAGAGAGAGAGAGAGAAAGAAAGAGAGAAATATATTCAGAAAGGAAAGCTAAACGAGAACTTCACAGGGGCAGGCAAAGAACGGCCGACTCGCATTCGAGAGGATAAGAACAAAAGGGCAAAAGTAAGTGTACTTTTTCGAGGGTGACTGAGGGTGAGGGCCAAGGAAGAATAAAGCAAAAGCGAGACGTAACCGCATAGCTAACGCGCGTCGAATAAAGATGATGCTACACGCAGTAAAAACGAGAGAGAGGAAGTAAGAGAAAGGGTGTGTATGTGTTCGTTCATTCCTTACTAAAGCGAGGAAGAAGCAACATGTTGAGAGGGTGAAGTGAGGGACAAGGGGAGTTTGACGAGCACGACGAAGAGTGTGCGTTACTACGCGAGAGTCAGACGAAGAGAAAAGAGACGAGACACCACGAGCAGGATAGCTTGAGAGCGAGACGGGGTGTCGGGGGAAGCGGTGGCGTGTTGCGTAGGGTGCGGGGGTGGGGGAGCAAACGAGAGCTCACCAGGGTAGAGAGTGCGAGAGGGTGTAGTGGGGAGCTCTCCGATACGGCGCGTCGTGTCTCTAGGTGGCGGTGGTGGTACACAAGTTATACTCTCGCGGAAGATTGCGGAGTACGGAATTGGACTCCGCGACTTCAGACTGGACTTGGTTCGGGTTAACTCGGTCGTCGTCGGCTCGGTGGTTCGTTTGGTTGAACGAGGGCGCGCGAGCGAGCGAGCGAGCGTTTCGCGTTCGTTCGTTCGTTCGTTCTCGAGCGGGTGTGTGTATCGCGCTAGCTGCTGCTGGCTGCGTGTGGTGTAGAACGACCGACGGTGAAGGGTACTGCGAGTGGAAGACACGGCCGTGGCTGGCTGCTAGGCGGGCGTAGGCGAGGTACCGTGACGGCCGTTCGGTGGCGCAGCAGAAATTTCCCGACACGACTGGCGCGGGTTGGTCAACAGCGTGGTGTGCGTGTATCTTTTATCTCGTTTTCGCGCACGGCGCTCGATTTAAGTGTGCGTGGCGCGCAGTGTGTACGTGTATGTAATCGGTCGCGCGTATGCGTATCTGCCCCGAGAGTCCGCGCCTCGACTTGCTGACATGGCGTCCTAGCGTTGCGCACGGCCGAAGTTGCACGTCCTTTCGCACACCACGGGAACGGATCTTTATCCCTATTGCTCACCCCCTTGTCGTCGGAACGCGAGAATGTCGAGGTAAGTGCAAGTGATATGTGTTGTTACACCCGCGTTTGTTACCGCCAGACGATATATATATATATATATATATGCGTAACATCTTCGTGTCGTCATCGCATGTCGTGTGTATCGCCTTCGTCATCTTGCTCGCTCTCCTTGTCGCCCCGACGAGGGCGAAAAAGAAGGAACGAATCGATGTGTATATACCTTAGCGCGTTTTTGCGGGTGTGTGTTAGGACCGGGCGGTGTCGCGCGATGAATCTGTGTTTGAACTCGCGTGACGACGCGACGGCAACGTTTGTAAAATGACACAAGATGAAATCGAGACAAGCATAGGGTCGTTGCCATCTCGAGTTACCCTCGCGAATCAATATTACTAGCGCAGCCAGACGATCTTGTTTTCTCCTCCCTCACACGACACGTATACACCTTTTTGCGCGCCCTCTTTGCGCCTTCTCTCTCTTCTACTCTCCCTACATTCGAGTCTTGTGCTCTCTCTTGCGACTCGGTTTTTACGTTTTCTTCTACTTCGTCTGAGAACTGCTCATGTGGTGTGTTCATACGGTTGTGTTATACTCTGTGAGTGCTCACGAGTGCCCATATGCGCGTATGTATGTGCGTTCGCTCGTGTGCTACGTGTTTCATATGCGCGTGTGAATATGTGTATACGGTCCGAGCGCGCTCCTACGTGGCTACGTCGGAAGGGTTAACAGTGGCGAGTCAGCGGGGCGGAGCAAAGAGGTTAGTTTCGAAGTAGCTTCTATTCCACGAAGCAGAACCGCCAAACGCAGAAGGAATTCGCGCGCTCCTCTTTCTTTCTTCCCTCTCTACTTGTCTCACCCTTAAAAAGAAAAAAGATGGCGAGCACGGGGTATCGAATAGCTTATCGACGCATAGATGGGCGACGTGCTTCTTGACGTGGGTTTTCACTTGAGAAAGGGTTGCGTAAATCCCTCCTCCCTCTCCCCTGCCTCACTTGTTCACTCCTTCCTCCCTCGTCCTCTCCTTCCTCCCTCGTCCTCCCCCTGCTTCTACCCTCCCGTTACCCCTCGCTCCCTTCCCTTTCTTTATGTGGTGCGCAGTCGGTTGCAGCGCTGCCCATCGGCGCCGATACGCCCCGGGGTGTTGAGACTGACTTCGCTTTGCTCGGTTCAGTTCGGCCGTTTTCGGTCGCGTCCGTCCGTCCGTTCGGTCGTCTGTCCGTCCGTTCGTCCGTCCGTCCGTCTGCCGGGCATCCTCCCTCTTACAGTCGGCAGTCGCGCTCATTGAAGTCGTACGCGCGCGCGCGCGCTGTGTGTATGTGTGTGTGTGTGCGCGTTTTGTGGTACGTGCAGCTCCGTTTTCTTCCCGAACAAACACGTATCTTCGCACGATTGCTTGAACAGTCTTTACGATTTTCCTTGTTCCTTGTGTGTTCGCGCGCTAGCGGTTTTTCGTTAAAACTCCGTCGTCCTCGGACGTCCTAGCTTCAGACGGTAACTGAAACACGTGTCTCTCGTTGCTACTTTTCGTAGGAGAAAGATACGTACGAATGCAAGTGTCACAGCGTACTTCTAATTAACTTTAATCGGTACAACTTCGTAACGATAACGAGAATTGTGTAATCTGTGCACCCTTTGCTCCGAACAGCAAACGTTCTTGTGGATGTGCAACGTGTTTGTTAGTCACAGCGGGGTGTTACCAGTGTATGGGTGAGTTGTGTGTCATGTTGCATGTGTGTGTGTGTGCGTGCGCGCGCATATATAAGCGCGCAGGGCCGTGCTCGACATGATGATTTTTCTTGCAACGAGCACAAATAAAAATTACGTTCCGTATGAACTGAAATAAAATGATAAATACGAGACCCTCTATAGCAAGCATGTGGCAAAGATGATACTTTGACTAAACCGCGTGCAACACATGCAAAACCTCTTGAAATAATTTTTTATTTTTATAGGAACATGAATTTTGTATTTTTATAATTTGTGTTTGCGGTGAACCTTAATACTTAAAACTTTTGTTCTATTCGATACTCGAGTGTTCCCGATAATTGAATTAACAAGGATTCACGTTATCTTAAAGATATAAACACGCTCGAACACTTCAAAATATGTAATTGGACTTGGCTCCGTGTTTCACAACATAGTAACAAAAGTCAACGAGATTTCGAGTGTTTTAACGTTCACAGAGTGTTACGGGACCATCGTCGTCTGTTCTATAAAAAAAACAGTACCGATAATGACACCCCGTATACAATTACATCAATATCGCCTCTTTCATTTTAACGTTTTCATTATTATACGATATTTAGGACGCTGATATTTCTGATATTTCTTCCAACAGAAAATGAAAAGTGTTACGACAATTGGTTTTTTCTTTTTTGTAACTCTTGCTGTGATTTTGTATTTAAATTTATTCGAGTGTTTTTTTTTTTTTTCCTAAATCTATAAGCGCGCGCGCGTATTAAATCTGTCGTTAAGTTATTCGAGTAATTTTTAATTTTTGTGTAATCGCGATATAAAATGATCGAATAAACTCAATGTTTATATGTGTGTGTACACTTTTAGTGTATTTTGTGTGTGTTCCAATTCTACGCAATAAAAGAAGTAATATATTGATACTTATAATTTCGACGACATAAACATATACGTATATCTTTCGATAGTATATATAAGATTTTATATCTTTATTCAGAGACTCAAGTGCTTCGACTTTGTACAAAGCGCACCGGATTTGAAAAGCATCGGGGCAAAGTGCCTAGCACGTAGGGGAGAGCGCGGAGGGCGTACGACGACGCACGCGGGCGACAAGTGCACGCAACGAAGCGTCGACCCGTCGACCGTACCCATGTGCTTTCCGATGAGAATTTACATGCGACTTCCTGCGGGCTCTTTCTCTCGATTAAGAGTAGCGTAACGATTTTATCGCGGTACCCGCGAGGGGTTGAAGCGGCGCCAATTATGGTGGCGATGATGGTAGTTTCAGCGAAGGGAGAACGGATGTGTAAGGGCGTAAACAGACAACATAGGGAAAAGAGGGGTTAATATTCGTCACGCATAGAATACGCCGAGTTTTTACATCCTCGGCTTATCGCGAGATCGTCGAGAATTTCAGTTTGCTAATTTTGTTTCTTATCTCTTCTCGTTATTTTCGTCAATTTTGTGATTTTAGAAGTAGTTCTCTGAATTTCTCAAATTTCTTCAAGATTTTATATTCTTATAAGATTATGGAGAGTTGTTAGGTTTTTTTTATCGCATAAAAAGTTTTTTTTGTTGTGCACAGGTACTTGTCCAACTTTTTGAGATTTTGATCTTTGTATATACTATATAAATTATTCAACTGTTCACGTTTTCTGAATAACGTGGGGTACAAAATTCAAGAAAACAGTGGCGAGGGGTGTTCTCTGAACCGAGAAGAGTTTCCGTGTATCGCGTCCATAAAGCGTCTGAGAGTTTCCTTTTTCCTGTTCTTCCATGATAAACTGAACTAGCACTCAGCGCGCGCGCGCACACACACACACACACCTGTTGGTTTTTTTTTTTTTGTTAATTTGAGTAATATTCGTATGTAAACTGTAAATATATTATTAGAATTATTAGTATACTGAAAATTATATGAATGAGAGTTCTACATTGTTCTATATTATATATTTTAATATTAAAAAATATTATTTTGTATTTTTGTTTTTTATATTCTTAATTTTTGTATCGAAATTTTTTTCGTCACAAACATCTCAGGATAATAATGAGTTTTAAATGAGCAATTTAGAGCCACAAATTACAAGCATTAGAGCGATTAAGTTAGAAACTCTCTTGAGGAGATAAGATTTAAGTTTAATTCTCTAGTTTTGTGCTCAAAGTAGCAAGTAGCTCGAATATTTTAAAGAAATAGATACGTTATTTTTTTTTTTTTTACACGCACACGCGATGTAATATATGTATATCACATTATATATGTATTACATTAACAATAAGATATATATTGCAAATAACAGAACACGTTAACGTTTAACTCGAATCAAAGTGCAATTTTCCTCAATTTACAATTACTACGATCGAAAATCAAGTTAAAACAGATTGTTTTTACGATCTTGACAGAATAATTCGTGTATCTTTATATTCAGACTTGTTTGTCAGGATCCTTGATTCAATTACTCAATCGAGTTCCCGAATTACGTCACTTATAACAGCCCTTCGAGCGTTGATTGCCGCTCGTGGTAGATAGATTATTTTGGTGGTATTGTAATGGAGGTGTCAATTGTCTGACAATGCTTTCTTCTCAGCGACAAAAGAGGAGAGATCGGAAATGAGCGTAGAGTTTCATATATTTGATTCTTGTCTTTTACATACGTATCAGAAAAAACGTTTTGCAACCCCGCTGCACTTGTTTGCATCTGTTCTCGCGACACTGTATAACTAGAAGTCGGATATATAAATGCCATGTTCTAGTTACACCTACGGTATGCAGCATAGAATCGGATTTCAGTAGCCAAGCTACCAGGAAGAAGACATATTACCAATCGTTCTTTGACGTTTTTCAGTAATTTTGTACGATTTCAATCGTTACAAGACGGTATATAATCGGAAATTTTTTTCCTATAAAAATCTCGAAATATAACATCAAAAATGTAAAAAATTTAAGTGATTTATGCTTGTACTCTCGTAAAATTGTTTTATAATATATTCTGAAGAGTTTTTTTGTTGAGAATTTCGAAGTTCCCATCACTCGCGAGTATTCGTTTGATGTTTGTTCGATTACTGTGTCTCGTCCTCGAGCAATATTCAGTCATTGGAACCGCGACATCCTTTCGCGGATCGCTCCGTTTCTTGCGATCTTTTTTTTTTTTTTTTTTTTTTTTTATATAATGTATTTCTATATTCTCCCTTGGATACACTTCTCTCTTTTGCATTCGAGCGTCACGCGCAACGGCGTAATCAGTGTGAGGGTAAAACTTAATAAAAGTTTTCTCGCGCGCACGAGCTTTAAATAAATTCACATTATTCTCATAAGATTCAAACAGTAATGCTTGAAAAAGTCAA